TCTTAATTGCTTCAAAATTGAGTGTGTATGTTAGAAAGGAATCATATTTCCAAAAATAAATTAAATTAAAACAGCCTCGGATATGATTTCTAAACATGTAATAACCATGCTATAAATAGAGTATTTAGAAGACTGGAGATGTCATTAGAGCTAATATTATTCAAACACAAACTATACTTAAATATTAGGCACAAACTTCCTTGTACAATTTTAAATTATTAGGTAAGTAGTATTAGAAATAATACATGGCCTTTTAATAACTACTATTAATATCAGTATATCATCTTTCGCAGGGCAAATAGAAGTATTAACAATATCACAGATATATTGCAAAGTGAATTACCTCTTAATTTCAGCTATCGGATGCAAGTCTTTCTTCATTAATCTTAAACATAGCACACAAAGTTTTCTAAAACCCACTTTATAAAATGGATAATTTTCTTACACTCATCATCAATAATGTGCTTAGTGAACTTAATCTATTTAAGTCATTTAAATTAATAATTAGGGGGAGGATTTTTATTGCCTAAAACATTACAAAGTGACCAATAAATTGCTCTTAAAAATGCCCTAAAGAGAAAGAAAAGTGACTTCAGTAATTGGTCAAAACCACTTCAGATGAACTACTCAATCTGTTGGGTTTGTTACTGATGTAATCAAAGCTTCTTCTTTTTATTCAGGCGAACTCACCCTGCAAACTTTTGTTTTGGACTGTTCTTTAAAAGAAAATCTCTGCCTTTATTTATCGCAAAATCTGCCAAACTGACAAGGGCGCCGATAGGCGTCACAGGAACCTTAGATTTTGTAGTACTAACAACAGCTGACATTACAATATATGAATGAAGAAATTGAATAGGTAACTCAGGAATTCTGTGGTGATTATTTGTTAGACCACGTAAATTTTGTTTCAAGCAAGTAAAGCAATAAAAATTATATAAAATCAATAATATGAGTGAAAATTACTTAAAAATGATGTAAAAAGGTAATAAAAAAGTCAAAATCATTGAAAAATGCAAAAAAATGGCTTATAAAAGTGGGTAATTTTGTTTTGTTCACAACATAAAATGAATTTGTATACTAAATGGCATTGTTCTAAAGTGGAAAGAAAAAAGATGACATTTCATTAAAACCCACCCCTATTAATAATCAACATTTGTTGCCGTAGTAATAACGTTGGAAGTTTCTTTTGTCTCAAGAACATTTATTCCTCCCACTCATGAATTATCAATTTGGTCTGAATTGACCGACCTTTCAGAAAACATTGTAGAATATAATATTTACACATATTCTCAATTACCACAATTTTTCCTCCCTATGACATAAGTAATCAAGGTAATGTGAAAAAACATTGCCTTTATTTCACATTTTTTCAATTATATAGTTCACTAATATTATAATTGATTTGAGACTTTAAAAATATCATAGAAGAAAGAACCATTTTCATGTAGAAATTGTTTTGGGGAAATTATTGATTATTTTGGAAAAAAAATATGTTTCAGCATTTGCATTCAACAACTCTTGAGATTTCATGAAACTTCATAAAAGAGTTTTGAGAAACTTCATAAGAGAGAGATATTTCCTGAAGAATATATTCTTCAGAAAATATTTTCTAAGATATATTCTTTGTTTCTTTCTCATTTTATCCATCAATTGAAATTTATAATTTTCCTTGAACATCATTAATATCAGTTATAATATATGTTATTTAAATCATCATGTTATTTCACTGGTTTTTAATTTTAAATTTTACCGATTTATACTTTGAAAAGACATTTTGCTAGATTTTGGAAATAAAGCAAATTTTTAATTACAGCTCGCTCAAATTGGTCTACATCTTCTCAGTAAATCCTTACTTGGGTCCACTTCAAGTGTCTTTAAGCAGAATGGTGCTTGATATTATGAAATTCTTCTTCCTATATGTTCTTGTTCTGTTTGCATTTTCCTGTGGTAAGTACACATTTGTAGCATGTTTAATCTATAGATGTTACTATACAAAAAAATTTAATAAAATGATTAATACATAGGCTATCAAAAATTTCCATGTTGACTAAATAAAGAAATGTTTTTATTTTCCTGTAAAACATTATATATCTTTTGAATTGTATTTTCTCTGGCATAAAATTAATTCATTTCAGACTATTTCAATTATTTGCTTCTTTCAAGAACTATAAAAATGAAGAAATTAGACTTGTATTTAATGTTTAAATGTTTTCTGTTACTTTCTTTTCTTTCTTTCACCTTTCACCCTGGATTTCAGAGTTCAAATCCTTGTCACTTTTTGTGCAATTTATGATGAACCCAGCATGTTTGTTGCAACTTTCCCTAGGGTTCTCCAATTTTCCTTCCTTTATTTTGTATTCCACCCTGTCTCTATTTATTTAATGTCAAAAAATGGATGAAAACTGTATGTAATGTACTATGAGGAGAAGTATATTCTGTGCACAGTTTATTAAAGTCTGGGATCTCTACCCTAACACTTATACTAGTTAAATAATGAATGCAGGTGAAAATTAGTGTTTATAGCAAAAATTGATAAGAAAGTAATTCAAGTGCAATAAAAACTATTTGCAAAGGATAAAAACTTTATATTTTGGCTATTATCCCTCATTGTGCCCTTTATGAAGGAACTGACTTCCTGCTGTGAGAACGTGGAGAACATTTATTTTAATAACTATTCTATTACTCACTAAAATCTAGAAAACATGCACAGGTAGTGAAGTTACATTTATATCATCATTACATCATCATATATATCTTCATAATTCCTATTGCTACCCTCTCATTGCTCTTATATTAATCTCTGGATAATAGCAGACCCAAGTAACTTCACCCTTGCTCCTTCATACCTCTGGTGGTCACTCCTGCACTCCAGCACCCTCTGGTGGTGCCCCTGCTCATCAAAATATTCTATGACAAAATTACTGCATATATACTTTATTTTTCTAATAGTTTATAATATTTGCTGCCATTTTTCTTGAACCAAGGAAGAATTGGCAATATTGAAATATTACTAGCATTTTCTCTACAACTGGGCTAGTTCCCCCACATACAAATGCACAACTTTCTCAGTGTGAAAAATGTCAGGTCAATCCATCAACAACCTGTTTAGTTCACAGTCCTTTTCACTATGTATCAGTTCATTATTCTTTTTTGTGTTACTAGTGTAAGGAGAAGATTTTAACTTAATTCTTGGTATTTTGCTCCTTCAAGGTTTGAATCAGTTATTGTGGTACTATGCTGATATGGAGAAGCAAGTATGCATACTGAGCAAAGATCCCAATGCACCAAACTTTGTAAATGTAACAGATAGGGATGCCTGTGTTGTTTGGAGGAGATTTGCTAAGTAAGTCTCTTTTTGAATCACTGTAATTTTATTTCTAAATTTTTGTAATTGTACCCATGATTTGAACATTATCATTTATTCTATAACTGTGTTTCTTTCCAGCTTGTTTGAAACCACTCAGACATTATTTTGGGCAGTTTTTGGCTTGATAGATTTGGATAATTTTGAGCTCCAGGGCATAAAGAGCTTCACTCGCTTCTGGGGCATGTTGATGTTTGGAACTTATTCTGTCATCAACATAGTGGTGCTGCTGAATCTACTTATAGCCATGATGAACCATTCTTATCAGCTTATTTCCGTAAGTTCTGTAAGTTGCAGCATTTAGCTACAGTTTCTCGTTTCAGCTATTCTGTGGTTCCGTGTGCACCCACTAAGTGTCTTTCAACCACCTGCTTGCTCTGTGTTCAACTTTCTACATCTTCTACTTCTCACGCCTTCCATTCTCTTAACTTTTGTAACAGAATAACCCTGCCAAGCTCAAGTTACTAATTCGCCTCTCAGGAAGATGGTTCTCTGCGCAAGAGGTAACATTTTAAAACAAATTACTCAAGATAAATGTCAAATTCTACCTAAATAATGTATGTTTTTGAATTAAAAAGTTAGCTTTTTCAATTTTTGTGATCTAATATGTATGTATCATAAAATATTGTGTCCACTGTTTTCATGTTTGTAAAGAATGTTTAAAAATTACTGTTCAATTGAAATGCTTTTGTATAAAATATTGAGCATGTTTTCTAAGTTTCTGTGACAGTCAATATTTGAAATGCTGAAACCAATTTGTATGAAAATTGGGACACAATCTTTGAACTACTTCAAATAAAAATAAAGAAAGAAAAATATTTTGAACCACATAAAAAGAGGTTGATGGTAAAAATTGTAAAGTTTGGCATCAACAATGAAATCTTTGTTGAAAGTCATTTGCCATGAATAAAGGGAAAAGAAAATGAAACAGGTACAAATTTTTTTCATAAAACAAAGAAGAACCCTATTCTGAGATTCTCCTTAGCTCTTTGAGAATACGTATTACAATTTAGAATATATTGGAATTTTTTTTTCATTCTAGTCATATCAACAAGTGTTGAGCAATAAAAGTTGAAAGAATATTGTTTACTGTCTATATTTTTTTTTGCACTTATGGGAAGCATTATTTTATTTTATCTCATTATTTTTAAACAGTTGTAAACTCCTCATTGATGGTGTAATGAGTAATAATCATATTTATTACAGAATGTCTTGAAGATTTGAAGTGTCTTTCAAGATCCTTATATTTTGATTATCTTCATCTGCCTTCTCAACCTTTTTAGCTTTGAGAAACCATTGCAAAAGCATAGAAAATAAGGAATTTTTATATAAAATTGTGTACCCTAGCTAGTATTATTCATTAATTTTCATATATTTTAAGATCAATAAGAAGAAAAATAATGAATGCTACAATAACAATCATTTATTTCAATTCTCAAGAATTATTTATTATTTTCTTCCTTTCTTCAAATCTTTTTATTTCTTAATGTTTCTATTATATCTATGATTATTCTCAAGACACTAGTAAAGATCTGCAAGTTTTATCAAAGAGAAACAAAAGCTGGAATTACATAGATTCATTGTAAAAATAATTGAAGTTATCAGCAGAAAAATTAATTGAAAATTCCTGTTGTAATTTCATTTTGAGAGAAACCAAAGATGATATACTATATGTTTTAAATAGTTGTGTACTAAAGCTACATAATAAGATTTTTTTTAAATGCAAGCAAACAATTTTTTATCTTGCTTATTTGTCTAATGTTCATATTCAAGTAAAGTCGTCATGTATAACAAGTTTGTTTTTAGATATGAATTCTTTATTTTTACTGCTTCTGTTCATTCTTGCATCTTTTGTATGAGGTTCAGATTGTCAACTTATAACATAGTAATTAATGTAAGGTTCAAAAACTCAGAATCATAATGTTGACAATATGCAGAATGTATTTTTTCAGACAAAATATATTTGAACTGTAAGTTGTTCTTTCTGTTTTTGTTTTTACTTTGTTTATTTTTCAAAGCATTCACATAAAATTTTACATTGGTAGATATAATACTAGAAATAATTTTCTTTTATATTTTGGGTTAAAATATTTGGCAACTATTTCATGTTAAAATTTTACTTGTGTAATTTTTTAAGATCCCGTTGTGTACAAGATGCTAAAAATAATGATTGCAGTGGCTAATTTTATGAAAAAATATCATTTAAAATTATTAATATTGTACCAGAATGAAAGGTATTAGAAACTTTCTAGTCTTTCTATGATAAGTACTACAATATTTATTCTAATTCAGAATATTTTGTGGAAAATTTTGAATATTTTAGTGCCTGTTCCTAGGTAATGGTACTTCCAATTGTACACATTTTCCAAAAATTCATCTGCAAAGAAAGTCATCTTTATAAATATCAATATATCAGAAGCAATTAAATTAAAGGAAGTTACTGAACTAAAAAAAAAAATTGTAGAATAATGACTTTGATTAAGAGTATATGAAATTGTTTTATGTTATCAACTACAAAAGTAGGTATTAGAGAAAGGAATATTTACTTAATGTATGTGTTCTCTTTTACTCCTACATTGACCCTTGTCTGAACATTAATTCTGGCACTTTCATTCTTGTATTGCTTTGCCCATTAACTAATTCTAGTTTCTTTGTTGCACAAAAAGCAAAAATGTATATGGATCTTTGAGATTCTTTTACTTTCTCTCAATAAAACCATATTTTTAATTGTTAATAAAAGTAAATTTTGAAATGGTATAGAAAATATAATAAACAAATAACTTTTTGTACAAACTATAAGACTTGACCAACCAGCATTATTCGATTGCAGACTTAAAAACAGCAGTAGAAAAAAATATAGTATCTGTGTTATTATTTAACTATTTATTTTTACAATGATTTCCATCGCTGCATATATTTACAAGCTGTTTATATTGTAATGTTGTATATGCTTAGATTATTGTCTCAACAAATTACAGTAATCTAAAAGAGTAATTTGATGTTTCACTTAGAATTTCTTAATATCAGTACCTATTCATATTTGAAATAAATGCGTTTTCCACAAAGTTCATTTTTTTGCACATCCAATTCAATTTTATTTTTGAAAACTCAATAATTCAAAACATTTTGGGGTATGTAAAAATAAAAAAAATTAAGTGTATCTTTCATTTTAACTTACAGCATTATTTTTAAGTATTTATTATTGCTTTTATTATTGTAGTTCAACTTATACATCTTGTTGATATGCATTGACTGCATATAGCAGTGTGCTCTTTCATAATGCTCTCTTCATGATGCATAATTATGTGAATTGATAAGAAAAATGTATTTTGGAAGAATTGTAAATGTGATAATAACATACGTGTAAAGTACTGTTTTAAAATTAATTTTTATACAATATAAAAATTCTTTATATTTATAATATAATTCCTGAAAGTAAACTAATAACAAATTTCATCTGTACCTGCTTAATATCATTTCTTAAATACCTAAATCATTTAAATGTGAGGACTATTTGAATTTTTAACCAAAATACTAGCATAAAACAAAACAACCTTTTCTCCTCCTTTCCACACATAATGTGTTGTAGTTAGCCTACTGTTGAAGTAGTATTGTGTGTGTTTCACCTTACCCTCAAGTAGTAGCAAGTAGTATTGGGCAGATTTGCAAATCCAATATTGTTGAAAGCTTACTTTTTCGTACTGTAAAAATGATGTTGGTATTCCGTATAAACACCAATTTTCTTCATTTATGTGCTTCCCAAACTTTCTTATCTACAAACAACTTGATGAAATATTTTTTTAAATAAAAAAACAAATTTTAGTATTTGATGTTTAGAGTTTTAAATAGAATTAGGACATGTTTGAAACATCTATGCTTCATGTTTCTAAAATAATACATAACTATCCTTGAAAAAATACAATGTTTTTTAGCAAGTGTTTGTAGAAGTGTATAGTAAGTGGACTTGAAAGATGTAGATGCAGGGTTCAATAATGCTCACTCTTTACAAAAGAAGCTTTCAGAATAAATATTTTGTAGATATCAGTTCAGAATATTTCTCATATCTTATGAAAGAGAAGTGTCCCAGTTTCCAGTACTATGCATGATATTGCATTACCATATCTTGGAGTTCCTTGGCACTAGACGTTCTTTATCGAATGTGTGAGAATAGAATAGCATTGATTAATTGTTAATTGCTGCCCTGATAGTTCTTTAGAAATGTATGTTCTATTTTTCCATGAAATGTAGTTCTGATAAAATAAAAGGATTCCATATTGTGTTATGAATTTTTATGTATAGTAGTCTATGAAAATTGTTATACTAACATGAAATGAGAATGTATTAAAATAAGAGTTCATTATCTTAATCTGTATGTGTTTGCAGTTGCTGAATATTGAGTGCATTACCTTCAGTTGGCACAAACTTATCTCAGAATGTAACCTGCCAGGGATTTCTTAATTGTAACATCACACTCACTTACAAACTAAATAATGTATGAGAATCATTATATTTTTAGTAGTTTGTTAGTTTCATGAGCTGAAACGAATTACAATTTGCTTATTTTAGCTTTATGTGAAACTGCCCTTCGAGTTCGCTATGAAACATATTTATTTTTGCACCGCTACCGAAACAAATGTCTAAACAGAAAGTTAAATTGTAATATAATAATAAATGTGACTGTCCATAATTGTTACACATCTCTTATTATTCTCATGGATTACATTTCTCCTGGCATCTTCTAATACAACTCTTTACTTTCTAAATGCTAAGGAATATGCATCATTGTAAACTCAATGTGTAACAAGAAAATGAAGGACTCAGGGATGCTTTAAAATCAAGAAACATAAAATTTTCAAAAAGATTATATATCTCTTCTTGGAGTTTTACTCTTCTTTAAGGCTTACAATTCAAATTATATATTTTTCATACCTTCAATTACTTAGGATGATCAAAATTGAATATACTTATAAACAAGACTACACTATTCTGAAGTGTAGTAGGAGCAAATATTGTTAAAAATATTATAGGTATTAAACATTACCAACAAAGAAATTAGTAAAAATAAATTAAAATTTTTCAAATGTACTAATACTTTTTTAATAAGGATAAGTCCTTTTTATAATTTTGGATTTTGGTGATCAATTTGTGGTTCAGTTAAAGAAAGCCAGTCCAGTTCAACTAATGAAACTTCACATAGTATGGTACAACTAATAACAATTAAATTACTTTTAAAATTTAAGTTTATATTCCATTAATCCTATACTATCATTAAAAGTAACTAATATTTGTGAAAAATATTTGGTTCTTTTTTTGTATCTACTTCCCAAAAATTGAACTTGTGTTAGCACATTTAATTTTGAGTGATAATTTATTTGAATTCTCATTTCTCTGATGTGTTTCAATTATCATAGACAATGGAATAGTGTGTGTTGCATTGTCAGGTGGAAGTTGCTCTGAAAAATGTTCAAAAAGAAACAAATTAATTGCACTCATTACTTGTGAGAAAGAACAATAGTGCCAATGAAATGTATTGATACAAGCTGAAACATGCTGTCTGGATCTTTTATACTTTTTATATTAGCTTCATAGCTGTTCCTTTGCACAGACTATTTCATAATATACATTCAGAAACAAAATGTGTTCATCAAGTGTGTTATTTGTTTCTTTCAGTTAATGAAGTTTTAAGCCTTTATTGTCTCATGGCTGGCATTTTTTAATATTTTCTGTCTTGTATGTGTGCGCTTCTTAGGCTTTAGAATGACAGTATATGTGTATCAAATGCAAAGTGTTTTATAGATTCTTGGCTGTCCAGGAAATGCCACCTTCTAGGCACAGTTACGAGTCTAGTTGCAACTTTGCCTAGGAGGTGGCATCTCCTGGACAGTCAAGAATCTATTGACTGCAGCCCCGGAAGTGCAGTTTGAATGCAGTTTATGATTAGTTTGAAATTTTCTTTGTTTGAAAACAGTAAAATATCTTAAAATAAGAAGCTTAAATGGTAAAGTAAAAACAAACAGCTAACCTTAAGAAATTTCAGGTTTTAATCAAATAAAAATAACAATATTGCAAATTTCACTCTGTTATTTTCTTCAGTACTTTCCTCAAGTACTCCAATATGATTAATTTTCTTCATTTCAAAATCTATTACTTTTCCTCAACATTTTGACTTTCTCAGGATTATAAAATTTCAAATAAGAATTTCATCATTAATAATTATTTGCCTCCAAATATGAAAAAGGTCAAGTGTAAAACAGGGAGAGTCAACTTTAGGAACTTGATTTATGTTATGAATACCTTCAAATTTATTCACAAAAAAGGAAGATTATAAAAAATGGAGTATGGAAAAAATGTCTTGAAGAAAATAGAGGCATAAAAACACTTTGCATTGAAATATTAAGCCAAAAAACAATGGTTTGCAGCATTATTTTATGGAATTTTAAATGCATTGTATTGAAAGTTGTCAGACAAATCATGTTGTGCATACAAGTTATTCTAGTTACAATGTGGATGAAATGTATCAGTTGCAGCAATGCCTATATGTCATTAGGTGGCAAAATCATTTTCAAAGCATTGGTTTTGATTTGCACAGGTTGCTCAGATTTAAAATTATTTTGTACACATTATAGAGCTGAAAAATGAACTACAAGATTTAGAGGTCTATGTCAAAGTAGACATTCAAACATCAAGTTGAAGATATTAAAAATTCCTTTTTATTAATTTCTTAAAGAAATAGCATGAATCAGATACTATGTGAAACATTATTTGCCATTATTTATTAAAAAAAAACAACAAAATGTTTTGATAAACTTGATCATGTTTGTAATATGGCCATACTCGTTTCTGAGGGAGGTGGGCTTCCATCTGGATGCTCGTGCTTTCCCTGGACTGGTGATCAGATTGATTTGCCTTTGCCTTTCACTGTGTGAAGGATGATCATTGAGGGGTGAATGATCATGAGGAGGAGGCGGATTTAGATGACCTAATAAATCACCAAAAATGATCAACAAAATGCTCTTAAAAAGTTTTTAGAATGCTCTAAAAGCAAAGAAAAGTTACATAAATAATCAAAAATTGTTCAGATGTACAAATCAAGCTGTTGGATATGTTACCAATGTAATCAAGGCTTCTTCCTTTCATTTAAGTGAACTTAGCTTGCAAACTTTTGATTTGGACTGTTCCTTATCAGAAAATTTAGGTCTTTAGTTATCCCAAAATCAGCCAAACCAACAATGGCACTGATAGGTGTCACAGGAACCTTAGATTACATACTCACAACAGCTGACATTACAATTACTGAGCGAAGAAATCAAATAAGCTACTCAGGAATTCTGTGGAGAATATTTGTTGCACCTCGAAAATATTAATTGAAAGAAGTACTATTAATGTGATATTAAAATTAATGAAATCAGTGAAAATGCTTTAAAAATGATGGAAGAAGGTAAAAAATGAAATATTAGTCAAAATTGATGGAAAATGCAAAAAATGTCTTATAAAAAGGATTTCCTTTTGACATAACGTAAAATTAATGTGTACACTAAAAGGCATTGTTCTAATGTGAAAAAAAAACCCGTGATGTTTCATTAAAACCTCCCCCCTAATAATGGGAAATAAATGATTTTGATATAGTGATGTTCCAAAGGGATCCTTGAATGGTATGAAAAGTCAAGCACCAAATAAATGGTGAAATAGCCGTGCCTTATGCAGAATTTGCCTCTGCGTACTTTGATGATACTGCTAGTCTCTGAGCCTCTGAGGCCAATGATAAATTCTATCATTACAGTATCATATAAACAAAGGCAGTCAGAGGTAACAAATGAAATGAAAAATTTGTCTGATCTTTTGACAATTCAAACTTTATTTGTTTCAGTCTCATTTAAAATATTTTATCACAGTGTTATTTTCTTTAGTGAAAATGGATTTCCAATCTTACATTTCATAAATATAATATTTTAAATCCATATAAAAATACTTTGTTGCCCAACATCTAGGACTGTTTGTCAATTATGTTATTTTTAATTAACATTATTATTTAATTTTTTTCTTTTTTGAAATGGAGAGGCATCTGCTTTCAAGTAGATGAAAAATGTTTCTGTCCGGAGTTTCTAAAGTGTAAGATTTCATGTAAGGAAACAAAACATATATATTTATGATTAAGTCATTAACAGATAACCCAGTGAATTTCAGAGCCTTTCAAATTAAGAAAACTTCAAAATTTGTATCCATTTTCATATGAGCAATGGAGAATTTTGAAGGTGTGTTGAACTAACAATGTTATTTTAAGTAATTTAATCTTAAATTAGTTGTTAAAATCCTTTTAACAATGTAAATGAATAAAAGTGACAATTTATTTGCATTGTGAAGAATTGCCCTTTTGGAATTAAACTGATGTTTCCAAAGATTGCGAAACGAACTACTTCAAATACTGGGAACATGCACTGCCTCTTCTTGTTCCACACATGATTCCTATCTTATAACACATTGTTTATCAATAGTAAAAAATAGTTGGAATGATTGCATTAAATAAAATTGAAGTTTGTATTTGATGATGCATTGCATTTTGTTATCAGCTCTGTAATGGGTATGTGTAAATTTTGCTTGTGTTTACAAATGCATTTCTTCTCAAACATGTTAAATTTTTTTGGCTATGTGACTGTTTATGTAAGTTTTTTTGTTTTTGTTTTTTTAACAGGAACGAGCTGATGTTGAGTGGAAATTTGCAAGGAGTAAATTGTGGATAAGCTATTTTGAAGAAGGTGGAACTGTTCCACCTCCTTTCAACATCATCCCTACTCCAAAAAGTATCTGGTACTTTTTACAGTGGATTCATCATAAATTATGTGGCCATTCAAGAGCAGCAAAAAAGGAACATATGCGTACTATACGTGTAAGTAAATTGAAGGTAGACGAGTTTAATAAAATAAATGCATAACTTTTAGGAAAATTCCTGAAAAAAAATAATCATCCACTGTAGTTGTTCAATTAATGAAGTATGTATAATGATCCATTTTTAATTAGTTTGTGTAGAAATATTTCTTATCTTTTAGCTGCCATGAGTTAGTAGAATTTGTTAGAGTGAATTAGAGTGAATTATTCTTGGTAAATATTTTCATTTATTTTTTGTACATACATTGATTATTTGTTTAATATACACACAACTTCTTTTGCACATTGTATTTATTTAAAATACACAGAAAATGTGAGAGGAAATACCATAAAAGCAACAAAATATAAATAATTTAAACATTTTTTATAATTCCGATTTTAATCATGATTGTCTTCCTAAATGTTTGTGTTATTTGCTTGATACAAATTGTTGAAGAACAGTTCTAACTACAAATAATATCTTATATAATTTCTTTATTGCAACAGACCTGAGTAAAAACACAAAAATTAATTGTTCCATCTCAATCTAACCAGATTTCTGTTTATGATTCTTTTATTTTAAACATTTTGATTATGAAATATTTTATTACATGTAAATACTTTTGAAGTGGTCATCTTTCAAAATAAAATTATTGAATCACAATTTGCAAATTTTAGTGTGATTTTGGCTCTGTGTGAGAATTTATTGTGGGTATTAATCTTGAATTACATCACTAAACACTACTGCTTTGTAGCATGTATTATATGTTGAGGAGAATAATGCTACAATTATTGAGAATTTGAGTATTGTTTACATAAATAAAAGCACTAAAGAATTAATAGTATGATTTCAGATGTATTGATTTTATTTCCATAATCTCTGAATGTTAGTGTGTAGTGTTTTTTTGTAAGCAAGCAATATAAATAATAGAAAAAAGATGTTTAAAAATAATATTTTAAGGAGATAAGTGGTAGGTACATTTTAGTTAGTAAATATCGCTTTTAGATTTGGAAGAGTATTTCCATTTGTTAATTTTAGGTTTTTAATTGTTAATTTTTAGGTATTGTTTTAAAGAAATACAAACCACAAATGCTCTCTTGAAATTTCTTAAGCTGACAATCATACTTTGATGCTTTTACTTCTCTGAAAGTATGGAAAAGAGAGATGCACTAAACTTTAGAATAATATCAGAGAACAAATTTATACAACCATTGAGGCAAGAGTGTTGACGAAAGATGAAAGAGTAAAGAGAAATACCTTTCCTCTATTCCAGTGTAATATTAGAGAAATTTATGATACAAACAAGAAGAGAATGAACTGAACATGGACAGTATCCATACTAATTATCACGTTTCAAAGATTGAAAGAGAAAACCCTAGAAATAATAAATGAAATGTATATAGAAATTATCTCTAAAGATAATGGAAAACTGGAATAGTAATGAATATTCACAGAAAAGGAACTTAAAACAAATGTGAAAAGAACAGGAATAACTAAGCAGAGTGAAGCAGAAGCTCTCACACACAGCCAGTCTTAATAGATAAAGTCTCTAAAGAAAGAGAATTTCACGGAGATTTGCCAAATTGCTTTTTAATTTTAAAAATATGAAGGATTTGTTGAAGAGAAATGCATTTAATTATTTATGTTAAGTACAACCTGCAACACTCAGACAGCTTTGTTGAAATCTATAAACTTATATAAAGCCAAAGTGAAGTATTCTAGGACTTTAGAATTCAGAATTTTTAAGCCAAAGGCCTTAAATAAATGTTCCTCACATTGTAATTTACAGGTTGAGATCTTGGACATTCTATTACATTCTTGCTGGTTAAACGCTTCTCAACACCTCATTGCATTGCAATTTCAGTTTCAAATATTGCAAAGAGTAGAGTTGTACTTGCTCAATCCTGTATTTTTGCATGGAAAATTTTACATAGCTTTGTCAAGAGTAAAAAGCTTTTGTAATATTTTTGTGGCTAACAAAGAAAGTGAAAAGTAAACTGCCAAGGAAGATTGTATATTTATTTCAAATGTTTTTGGAATTTGACCATGTGGCCCTACTATTGGCATTACTTTTTAGCCATGTGATAGACCCCACAATAAAGAAACTGGACACTAGAGGTAATCTATCAACAGGATTAAAGTAGATTTGTACCTATTCTGATGATGTTCAGATTTTAGCTATAAGAATATCCAGCATAAAAGATGCATTTATTCAATTCAAACAAGAATAAGTGGAAGCTGGACTAATAATAAAACATGAAGAAAAAAAATACATAATGTATGTAAAGATAAGAGTGTGGTAATAGACAATACTGAAATTGAAAATTTTACATTATTTAAATATCTAGGCATTATTGTCAATACTAACAATGTCATTGATGAAGTCAAGGAAAGAATATCAGCTGGCTAGTAGGGCGTATTACATGTGTAAGAATATTTTTTAACTCTAAATTACTATCTAGAAGATCTAAATTGCAGCAATATACTACAATTATAAAACTATAGCTCAACCACTTAGAAAAAGACCCTGGACTGTACATGCGTGAAAAGTGGCAGAGTGGAAGGTTCCCTCTCTTAGAGGCTCAACTTCATCACCTTGAAGTGCCACTGCCACCGCCTCGGCCTGGGCCTGAGGAGAAGACAGCCTGGCCTTGATGAATGTCTTGAACCCTAGAGTGTTGAAACATGAGAAGTAAGTTGTAGGCAGACCTTGAGTATTGTTGCAGGCGGACCTTAAGTTCAACTGAGCGCCCCTTCAGAAGTAGTGGGGGATGGCTAAGCCATGCCTCCCGAGGTCTCATTTTTGACCTTGTTACATGCATTAGAAGTTAGCAACATTTATTACAAGACATTCTCTGTAGTTGCCACAACATATAGAACCTATTTTCACTCTTTTCTACTAAGTTTTATAGGGTTTGTTGCTGTCACGTATTGTGAGCACCATTGGAAATGAAAGATTTTGATGCATCTATGTTTTGTTGTAAAAATTTTCATTGATAGCTTAAATAATTATATGATATTGGGTAGTTGTGATTAGATATACCTGAACAATAGGTTCTTTTAACAATAAACTAAAGTTTTCAGAAGAAATTATTTAAAAAACAATTTGTATAATCTAACATACATTTTACATAACATAATATAATAAAAGTATTTTAAAAAATCACACTATTTAACAATTGTTTAGGTTTCTTGAAATCGTTATAAGAAATAAATAATAATTGTTGTGTGTTTATTTAAGAAAATAAGATGCTGCAAAGTTTGTGTAAGAGGAAACCAAGAACAAAATATATTTGTACAGAATTCAAATATAAAAAAAGGCCAATATAATTTTTGGAAACAAACAAAAGAACATAACAATTTTTGTTTTCTTACAATCATTCTCTGTCTTTATAAAATTCCACTTTTGTCTATCATTATTATTGTAAGCTTGGCAGCAGACAACCTAAAAATGAGTTTATGAAAAATTGTACTTCTCCCCCATGTGTTGCATTTAGTTTTTACTGTTCTTTGACAAAATATATCAAATCAAATCAATTTTTGCTTAGATAAATGTAAACTTTATTGGATTTTTATTTCTTTTCTTCTCTCTTTCTCTCTTTCTTGCTCTCTTTCTCTCTTGCTCCCTTGCTCTCTTGCTCTCTTGCTCTCTTGCTCTCTTGCTCTCTTTTTCTCTTGCTCTCTTGCTCTCTTGCTCTCTTTTTCTCTTGCTCTCTTGCTCTCTTGCTCTCTTGCTCTCTTGCTCTCTTGCTCTCTTTCTCTCTTGCTCTCTTGCTCTCTTGCTCTCTTTTTCTCTTGCTCTCTTGCTCTCTTTCTCTCTTTCTCTCTTTCTCTCTTTCTCTCTTTCTCTCTTGCTCTCTTGCTCTCTTTCTC